TCTGCAGACGAGTAAAGTGCACCTTCAAAAATTTAGCAAACTACAAATTAAACTTACAAGGAAAAGTCTCTGAAGGCAATTCCTGAGTCTCATGCTAATAATGACTATATAAACATTGTTCAACCTTCAAGCCAAAATTAATCACGACTAGCTCATACCCATTTGTACTTTTGATAATATTGTCTGTTAGTCAGAATAGCTCTTCTCTCCTGCTTTCATTTTAAATAGAGAAAGAAAGGCTGTTTCTCTCTCGGGCTTTGTTTTGGCAGCCTGGAAGGATTTTGGCTTGGCTTGCTGGTTTCCATTTGTGCAGTAGGCTCTTCCTTCCCCTGAGTGTAGGCTTGGGCTTGCTTTACCCTGTTGCAGTTTGAATTAATCTTCCCCGAATTGGCCAGAATTGTGCATAGCATTTCAGGTAATGTCTCACTACTGCCTATGCTCATCTGTGGTCGCAGTAATTCCACTGGTAATTTATCTGTTACAGGACGACTACATTTTTGTTGATTATCTTCTGGTCTGAAAATTGCCTTTCTGCATCGACCATAATCTGCTTTCTGTTCCAAGTCCCTATTTCCCCATTTTCCATCTTAAGGCCATGAAGTGACTATTAATATATGATTTGTGTGTTGCTGCATCACTTGGTTGAACTCATGTGAGCCTTTTTGAAGTGTGAGATGATGATTAGATTTTGAATTGACACCATCAAACTAGCAAGATGACACAATAGAGATTTTTGTGAAAGTAAAAATTGTGGTTGATATTACCAATGGCTTTGTGCCTAGCCAGCTTTCTGACTGTCCTAAGCTTCGGGAGAAACATGTTACACAGCACTCATAGGAGGGCAGGGAGGGCAAGGAGTTGCCTTTTCTAAAATAACTAACGTTGGGAGATGGGACATCTGGGCCAGGTCACCTGGCTAATTGCTCTAGTAAATGAGTCTGTGCTCAATTATAGAAGTAAGCGTGGCAGTACTGCGAGGCTCAGCAGGTTACATTCCCTGCAGCTGACGTATAGTAGCAAGCATCAAGCGTGGGGGTGGAATGACATTTGGAGTAAAATCCTCACTTATGCGAAGACGGTGGTGTCTTGGCTCGTGAGAAGCGACGGTAGTGGTGGAGAGCTGTGCGGGAAGCGTGGGAGTATCACCGGAGGAAGGAGATCACATCCATAAAGACTTCTGCTGAGTTCAGCTCATATTTGATGTGCAAGGTAATTATTGTTAGTGTCCCTGTGCAAGGAACGATTTCTTTGCCTTAGTCATGCAGCAGTTTGCCAGGCTGCTTTAATGCTGCTGTTGATTATTTAATAATGTCCTATCTTACCCTGCTTTTGTTTGTGAAGCAGTTTAAGAGTTTTGTGTGTTGTTAGGACACTTTGATTTACTGTCCCTCAGCTGCCCCATGGCTGTCAAGTGAATATTTCTGCACTTGAAGAGATACATGGAGGAGCCTTAGTGTGAGCCCAGGACTTGCACATGGGGCTGCTGTTTCCCTTGCTGTGTCTTAACAATATTTATGAAAGCAAGGGCAAGGCCAGCCAGCAACAGCAGAGGGTTGTAACACTCAAGTCAAACCGGATGTATCAACATCATCATTTGACGATTTCTAGTTCTTTGAAGGTCAATTGAGTCTTCTTTCTTTGTAAGGAGTGCCAAGATCAACTGATTTAAGGGAAACCTTTCTGGTTGTAGAAGTGGATTTGAATCATCAGGTGATATACAAATGAAAAAGAAGGTAATTTACTGAGAACCAAATGCACAGGTTTTGTCTGCTTTCTCTTTATGTTCTGTAGGACTGAATTGGGATAGACAGAAGCAATTACATACCAGAGTCAGTAGGCCAAAAAACGACCTTTGTCATTACCAGGCGGCATGCTGGTGTTCAAACCGTATTTCTTCTCTACTTTGTCTTCAGTGAACTCTGTCAGCTGCTGGACATGAGTCAAATCATCTGGTAGGAAAGGCTGTGGCATATGGGCTGGAGAGGCCCAGTTCATGGAGAGTGAGGTTGCTGGAAATGTTGTTTACAGCTCATGTGATGTGTCATCATCTGCATGAGCTCTTTTTGTCCTTCAGACAGCGTTTGCATTTGTCACTCTGCATTACCACTGTCCTGCAGCGTTTCAGCCTTTCCAAGACAGTGATTCAAGGATCATCTGTCACCACCGCAGCAATCGTTTACTTTTTCTGATGGTTTTGCTGATGTGTATTAGCCATCCTGTTCACTGGCGTGGTCGCTGTCTAGCTTTGACCAAACCCATCAGGTTTTTTTAAGCAGTCTGGAAGAATATGTGGTTAAGGGCTATTCAGCACAAAAGGTAAAGGAAGTCGGCAAAAATAATAAACTGAGCACACAAATGCGCAGGCAGTAGCAGTTGCTATCAGTGACAATTAAGGCCAGAACTCTGCAACACTGGTGATGGGCCACAAAAGGAACCTCTCAGGCGTTTCCTTGAAGAGAGTCAGCCAGGGCTTGTAACTGATGAGAGGGAAAGCAGATTGCTGCACATCTTAAGGGAGGATAGAGGTTTTACTGGATATCTGAGAGGACTGCTGAGCCTCTGTAAAACTTCTGTGGGCTGATTAGAGGAAGGATAAAAGGCAGGAAGGGGAGTAATTGGGGAAGGAAAAGCATGAAAAAGTGGGAATAAGGGACAGGTTTCATGTAAGCAGGCGACTGGGCAGTGTGCTTATCTGGCCAAGCTCTGGACATGGTGTGTCCTATGTCTGTTCCTGACTATTCTCTGTGTGAGTGTGCTCTCTGTTCCATGTGTGCATCTGTGATCTGCCAGCAAACTTCAGGCAGGACTAAGTGGTGAGACTAGGATGAGATCTGCACTAGGTCAGGAGATGGACACTGGCACAGTTCTCCCAGGTAGCTCATGTGCATGATCTGCTGGTGAACTTCGAGCATCTCCGAAATCTGGAGAGACCCGACGGTGGAGCTGGAACCTGGATAAAAAGGCCACCATATCTGGGCTTGGATTCTGAACAGTCTGCATGGATGTCAGAGGGATCTGCGAGTACGTGTCTGCTTATGTGAACTTTCAGCCAGAGTGGAGAAGGGGAATCTAGGCCAGTTGTGTTGTTCGGGTTTTGCATAGGGACTGTTGGTGCTTATGTTGGGTGCCTGCAGAGAAGCTGTTGTTCTCCTGCCTTGGTTGGTACCGGTGGGGCTGGACTTTGTTCTGCTTGTGGGAAGTGCTGAGTGATTGCCTTTGTATCGCTTCTGTTGTTGGATTTTTTTTCTTTTTATTTTACTCTACTTTTCTTCCCTTATTAAACTGTCTCTTATCCTCACCCACAAATATTCTTGCCTTTTTTTCTCTTGCTCTTCCATCTGACTGAGGTGGGTGAGCAAGTGGCTGTGTGGGGCTTAGCTGCTGCCCGGGGTAAACCTACCACATATTGTTCCCACTTTTAATTGATACAAATTTGCAAGTAATTGCATTTCTTGGTTTTCCCCACACTGGTCTTATGCTTTGTAGGAATTATAGACATTTACAGAATTCCAGATCTCTTTCGGATCCAGCCTTAAAATTCCTCTACATAATGCTTTTTCAAATCATAAGTAAGATTAGGAGGTTTAACATGCTAAAACTACAACCTTCTGCATTGATTTGCAATATTGTGTTGTCTCCTCAACCCTCTATCTCCCTGTTTCATCACATACTTGAGATAAAAAAGCTCTGTGGGCTATAGGTCCTCTTGCTCAAGAAATGACACACCGAGAACTTTTGGTCAGTGACTAGGGATGGGAGTCTGCCTCAAAATAGAAAGGAAGGATGTCACCATATGCAAATATCAACTCCCATTTTACTGTCTCAATAGCAGCTAAAATGTTACCACATGTAGCAAAGGTATCAATAGAATGGAATGAATTTTCTTGTTCCCTCAATTATGTGGCAGGAAAATTATGTTTTATTGAAAATAGATTCAATCTCAGAAATAAAATGTTAAATTACTATTGTATATTCAAACTGTAGTTCAAACTGAACTTTTAAAAGAAATCCTACCCCTTCTTTTTGTTGAAAAGGTCATAATTTTTGCCAGACTGAACTGGCAAGAATTTGTCTGGTCTTGGGTAACCATGGGTAACCATGCTTGACAATAATTTACTTAGATAAAGATTTTGTTTCTTTCATATCAATTATGTGAGTACAGTGTAATTATAATATGACTAGTAGAGCTCAAATAGACTGATACTGTCTGCGTTCAGTTGTACTGTATCTCGGCTATGTTTTCCTTTTGCTGGTGGCGAACACTATAGTTTCTAAAGCAGCTGAGCTGGCTCAATGGCTCACTGCTGCTGAAAGAAGTTCTTACTCCAAGCTGTGTCCCTTCACTAATGCTGGGCCTGCTGTTAGTGCCATGAGTCATTTCGGCTTGGAAGCTCAGCAGAAAATTATTGCCTTTGTGTGTCTGGGTTGGTTTTCTCTTGAATTGGGAGCTGTTTTGTGGATGGCTTCTGTGAGTGCTGTAACTGGTGTAATGGATGTTGTGAAAGGGAGCTGGACCTTCGGTAGGTGGTGCTGACCTTGTAGATCAGCTGACTCCATCTTACAAACCACATCTTCATTGAGCTGACTGCATTGACAGGCTGTAAATGAGTCATCCCATTCAGCCTTGAGTGAGTGCAACCAAAATGCAGTTTTCAGATCACTCGATACCCCAAATGGCTCTATCAAAGATTACAGCCTGTGGAGAGGGTGGATGCCATGGTTGGCTGTTTGCAGAGTCTTCTTGATCCTGGATAAAAGTAAGGTTTACATGCGCTTCATCTTTCAGGAAATTGATAGAAGTGAATGACCTAAGGGGGTTATGACCTGCTTTCAGCAAAGGACCGGTTCTTTCATTAAAAATCTATGTACTTGTGAATCTTGACTTTTATTGTTTGTATTGTAGAGTATGTAGCAAAGACTATTAAAGTATTCATCTTTTCAGCCCTTTCACAGCTCTGAATGTGTGGATGTAACTGTTGTGGACTTTCTTTATTTTGCAGTTGCTGCGGGAGCTCAAGCATCCAAATGTCATTTCTCTGCAAAAGGTGTTTCTTTCTCATGCCGACAGGAAAGTGTGGCTTCTCTTTGACTACGCTGAGCATGACCTCTGGGTAAGGTGAATTGTGTGTAAGTTCCTGGCTTAGGGTTTTAGTGGCAGAGAGGGGACAAGGTCAGGGAAGACACATTGGTTAAAAACAGTAGAGCTTCTTACTCTGTGTTTGTTGGAAACCTTTTCAGTGCTAAAAGAAAAGCAATGGAAAATGTTGGGTAAGCACACTACACAGTTAATCTGTGACCTCTTTAAGAAGATAAAAAATCTGCATTCAGCTATCAGTAGGTAGAATTCTAGTTAAATAAGTGTAGATATGACCTCCAATACAGCTCAAGTAGAGTGCAGGAAAACATAATTGATTACGCAGCTGGATCTCCTTTGAAAAATGACAAAATTACTGACTGAATAGAACTGTTTAGAATTTTAGTTACACTGCATGCCATCTGTAAATACGTGAAATCTGAATAATGCCACTATATAATTGAAATTTAATTCCTGTGTTTCAGTGGGAAGAGATTTTACTCAAATTATCTGTTGAAATTTTGTGCATTTGGGAGGACAGCTGTTTATTTCTAGTTACAAGATAACAGCTTAAAAATATAAACGCGTAGAGGCAAAGTAAATTTATTTTAAGATACATACCCTTTTCCTCAGTTCACTTAATATTTGTAAGCTGAACATCAGTTTTGAATACTTTTTCAGAGGAAAAAAAGTATCATTGTAAAGAATACACAATGCCATGCAAATTTGACTTCACTGAAAAAAAGGTTTGCATGTGCCTCGCATTAGATCTGACTTATGTTTTAAGCATTGCTTTCAGTGGAACAAGTATTGTGGTATTAACCTTAAAAGATATTAAGAAGATTCATATTAAAGAGTACAACAGAGGCAGTTTGGAATGAGATGAAAATTCTGTTGTATGTGTTTATTTAAGAATTGTGCAGTATGAATCGTGAGTTGGTTTTAACTCTGCACATAGTTTAGGCAGCAAAAACCAAATTTCAAACTATTTTCTTTTGAAAATGGTGTTCTTTATAGTTGGGAGTAATTCAGTAGTATTTGCCTAGGAACTAGTGTGTCAGGCGTCCTTCTACTGAGTTGAATCAAAAGTATTCTTCCAGTAACTTGGAAGTTCTGACACTTGGTATTGAGATTTTGTTACAGAAAAATATTACGGAACCGCTAAAATGTTGCGACATTCTAAAGGCTGATGTACAAAATGGAAACAAGCAAACAAAAACTTGAGGAAATCAAGTAGAAGTGTTTTGCTGGGTTTTTTTAATGTGCAAAAAAACCCACTGCTCCCCTGTATTTCTGGTATGCTAAGCTACAGAAGTTTAAGAATGTTTGCATTTGGGCATTTTGTTTCAAAATGTGCTTCAAGGCTTTATATTTGTTTGGGTGACTGTGACTAGAAGTGACCTGTCCTTGTTTGTATTTATACTTTTTTGCATTGCTTCATAGTTAGGCAAAATAGGGGGCCGGTTAGCTCAGTCAGTTGAGCGTGGCACTAACAACGCCAAGGTCGCGGGTTCGATTCCCTTTCGGTCCCCATGTGTTGCCTGATCCAGTCGAGAGATGGCGTCCCTGGCGACAGGGAGGCTGGATTAAAATGATCTCTAAGGTCCCTCCCAGCTTACGCCATTCTATGATTCTGTGATTCTGTGAAAATCACTGCAGAAGCACTTCTGTTAATGAAACTGGATTGTGTATAAGTAACTTAGGAAAGACCCTCAATGTTCACCTTTATGTTTCTATTCATGTACCTGTGTAAACTCCAGGATTTCCCAGCTGTACCAGCTCCTTGTTGTTCACTGTCCCTGGGTGCAGGAGACTCAGCTGCAGTGACTGGGCTGGCTCCGTGCCCCAGAGAGCTGGCTGCGGACCAAGTCCTCCAGCACTGAGCATATCTAGTGCAGCAGGTCCTAAACAAGGCTGGGAAAAAGGCACAGAGTGTATGAGAGCAGGAACAAACAAGTCCAGGAGAGCCATCTGTCTGTCTGTCTGTCTCTGATAATTCACTTCTCTCTGGCCACTGCATGAAAAATAACATTTACTTTGGAGTCAGTGGAAGTGGGAGGTGAAAGGAGGCAAAACTCGTGACTGTCACTTTTTCATCAATGTTTTTCTCCTCCGTGCAGCTCCATTTTTACCTTTTGCAGACAGGCATGTGCCTTTCCCTCCCAGGAAAGCCAGGCTCAACACCTGAAGCGAGGGGAGGGCAGGCTGTGTGGAGCTGAGCTGCAGCAAGACAGGAAAGGCAGTTACCCAAAGGGACTTCTGTAGTTGAGTGCCTAATTGGCACCTGGAATATGATGAAAAACATGTGATACAAGTGTGATGCCAAATCTTAAAAGGATAAGGTCAGAGCTGTTTTCGTGATCACACAAGTGTGAGCCGTTAAAGAAATAGGAATAGATGGAAAAGTTGGTTCTAGATATTACCTTTCTCTGAAATATGGAGACAAATGTGGGAATGGTCACCATGACCATGGTGCACCTTGTGCTATTGAAGTTAGAGGCGCCTGAGACTGAAGTGGTAAGACAATATATCCTTTTGGAGTCCTTGTTGCTGAACATCGTTGCCTAGGTATACACTTGTAATTGTTAAAGGCTTTTTCCCTGTCTGGCTTGGTGGTTGACTTTCAGATGGACAGATTTATAGCTTTGCTCTGTCAGCAGCTTCTGTTTTGAGTGCTGTGCTTTAAGGGTATAGTAAATGAAGGCGGAATAAATCTGGGCTTCTAATTTCAGTGCTTAAGATTCCCAATGCTATTTGCAAGAATTTCAGTCTGGCATTAGATGTTAAGTATTAGAGTGTCATTACTGTAGGAGAAAATGTAAAAGTAAAATAATATAGCAGTTAGGTAATGCACTTTTAATTCTGTACTGTGATAGACAAGATACCAGCCAATGTTAACAAAAAGAACCTCCAAAGAAGAATACCCCTAAAAGCTCCAAGATCAGTGATCTGCAAGGGAATTTACTTTGGCAGTTGTACTGGTTTTTTATTCCTCATCCCGCTGTGGGAGAGCGAATGAGTGGCTGTGTGGGACTCGCTGCCTGCCAGAGTTAAACCACAGCAACAACTTACTTCATTTTTGAGATATTTCCCTTGGACAGTGATCACTTTACCTCAGATAGTATTAATTTCCTAGTACTTAAGGTACATGTTTCTGGTTTTGAAAGTGAATGACAAAAAGTTGAAAAAACCCTAAGAAGTCTATGTGAGGAATTACTGGCAATCTTTTTGTGTAATGGTGTAGATCAAAACATTACACTTCTTCATTTTGATTTCTTTTTCCCCTTTACAGCATATAATCAAGTTTCACAGGGCTTCTAAAGCAAACAAGAAACCAGTTCAGTTACCTCGGGGAATGGTGAAGTCACTGTTATATCAGATCCTAGATGGTATTCACTACCTGCATGCTAACTGGGTGTTACACAGGGATTTGGTAAGTGAATCCACAATGGGTTTTAGCACTGGGATAATGATCGAGGGCAAGGATTGTTTTTTGTGAAAAATCACTGGGAAACAAAAACCTTTGTGCTAAGGACATGTACTAATAAATATATATTTTTATGCTGCACTCAGACAGCTTTGATTAGTAAAGCAAATTTTAAAAGCAGGCTATGATCTGATCTGCTTGTGACAGCAAAGTATATCAAATGGCTGTTTTCCTCTTTTTTACTTTTCTAAATAAACTATTTTTTAAAGTGTTCATTCAAATAACAGGCATATTGAGATACAGAAAGTGCCTCTGGTACTATCACTGCAGGCAAGATAAATATGGCATGTGTGTAGGTGTGGGAGAGGATGATTGGCTGTAAGAACTGCTGGAAAAACTCTGTAAAATTCTCAGTTGTACTTACAAAGGTAACTTTTGAAGACCGTTATCTTCTACTAATTTTTATAATCTATCAGAAATATAGCCATGCAACCTGTTGAATGCTTCTGCAAATAAATTAATGTTTATCAAAACTACAGTGTAAGCAAAGCATTTTGAACCTGAGTTAGAATTTCTTAACTAGCAAACTGTAATAAATGTTTTTAACTGGTGAATCTCACCAATTGATATATATTTGCCTTTGAAATATGCCCATAGGTGGCTGGGCTGGTTCTGTTGTCCTAAAACTGGGCAGTTTTCCTGACCCAGTTGTCAGTAGCTCTTTTTCTTAGAAGTAAATTGGAAAAAAAGCTATCAAAGTATGACACTCTCTATATATGATGCTTCTAATTACTAAAACTTCATTAGTGCATGAGAGTGTCATGAGTTTGACCTTTCACTCCTATGAGTGAGGTTACCAATGCAATTCTATGCTTAGTGCAATAAATCTTGCTTTCTTACTACTCTCTCAAAGTCACTTTTAGTTTTTGAAATAAAAGCTTTAATAGTGTTCCTGGAAATGTAGTTAATGACTAGTTATTTGTCTTCTATTTTCATGCCCAGTAAATGCTTTTACAGTGTGCCAGTCTCTCTTTAAAATAATAAGAAAAGATTTATCTTTGGTAAACAATATTTTCAGAATTGAAATACAATGAAGCTTTGCTTTATTAAAATAATTCTGTAGATACTATTTTTAATTTGCATCTGGTTTTAGAAATGGAACAAAGGCCTCAGCACTGAGGGGAAGAACTCAAAGATTTTCATGGCTTTGTCATGACTCATGAAATAGTGGAGTAAAACATAGTGTAGAAATGTATAGTGCATGTTCCTACATAGACACACTTTGTTTTAAACCAAAATGTCATGTCGTACTCTAATGTTCTGCCTGCAATAATACTCTTCAGCATATTTTTAAGAGGCATACAGAAAACCAACTACCTGTCGTCAAGTATCTAAATTTTTCTGATGTTCTCTCTACAGTTTCAGAAACTTTATGAACTTAAACATAATTGAGTTCAAAAACAAAACCGTGCATGTTGTTAACTGGATGGCTCAGGAGATTGGTAATTTATTACAGAGCCTTTCACATCTAGGTCTGTAGCTCAAATACATTTTAAGTTGGCAACTGTGAAAAACTATTACCATCTCATTTTCTGACCTATGTGAAATGAGTTGGTGGTCTCAGTCCAGCATGAAGTTTTCTTCCAGCAGAAAAACCACCATCACAATTGGGTATCTTTTGATAATCCGAGGAAGAGACCAAAAGCTTGAGGCAGAGACTGAGAGGTCCTCCCACTGGAACCTTGTCAAGCTGTCTTGGTGAGAATCCTATAAAAGCTGTGCAGGGGCTGCCTTTGCTGCCTCATCCGTCGAAACCTTCGGGTTTGTCATTCTGAAATTGTCTGGGTTGAGCTGAGTTTAGAAGGCATGTGTTTCACGCGGGAGAGAAGACAGAATTGCATCCGTCAGATACTTTCTTCGTTTGTCAGGATCCCTGGGAACAGCATGAGTAACCGAAGGGATGCAAACTAGTGTTTTGGTTTAGTAAGACAGAGGCGTATTGGTGCGAAGTTAAGTTTGCGAGTTGGGACTTCAATAGCACGTATATTCTGATCCAAAGCAGAACAAATTACATGAATACTTGTTCTTAGATGTGGGTTTCTCTTCCAGGACACTGGTTTCTGTGCTAGGATATCAGTAATACTAGCCTTCAGGAAGATCAGTGTTAAATCATCCATTTTAGCTCCTGATGGGATGGCTGGACAGATCTACTGTGTTTCTCCTGCTGTATCGTTAAAATGATAGGCGTTGCTGCTGTTTCTAAACTTTTTAAGTTTCTCTAGATGTAGATGTGTACAGATGCACATGCAGAGTTGCTTATGTGACATGCTTGCTTTCATTTCATATATTAAGTATTGTAAGAGTAATGGGGCTTGGGGGCAGTAGAAAGCTAAAGAGTGTAGTACTTGAGTAGACAAATCTATTCTTTGCTACATCACTCTTATTCATAACGATTTTTAAATTTTTGTTAAAGGGTAAGAAAGCTCATGTCTTGGGAAAGTAATTTTCTTCCATCTGAGGGCAATTTTCTGGTTTTGTTTTTTTTTTTGAGATGTCTTAATTAAGTTAGTATTTAGGTAGGTAATGTTTTGGAGGGGCTTTTTTTTTTGAGATCTTGACTTCTGCAATCAGAAACAAAATATGACAAAGTAACTCCTTTCTTGCTAGCATTCTCAAATTGGGCAGTAAAGCTGGATGACTATTAAAATCACATAAACTTAGACTGAAGTAGAATTGAAGAATTCCAATTCATATAAGATTTGTAAAAGTAACTGTATTCTGTATGAAACTAAAAACTGTAGTAGACAATAATTGTCTTCTGTGGTCTTCTTTTCTAGTCATGGTTTGTCTCTTACTGAGGAAACGCATACAAATCTTAGCAATAACTATTTAAATAGTTAACTCTATTTGCTGTTCAATTTTGGGGGTTTTTTTTGTGGTTTTTTTTTTCTTTCACTGGTTACATGAAAGCCAATTCACTATTTCCATGAGAGCAAGGGAGCTGTTGATCATATTTGTTACCTTTGAATACTGCTGTGCTTGAGTAGTTAGCTTTCCCATAAGCCTTTGAAACATACCAGTAAAATTTTTCAACAAATAAATGTCAGTCCTTTTAAAATGTCTTATTTGACTTGCATATTCGTCAGCTTTTTTTAATTTCATGACTGAGAACAGTAGAAAGCAGATTGTTTATTCATGCTCTGACTATAGCAGGAAGGAAATAAGAACACTTCATGTAATTGCCACAAAGTGCATCAATTATAGTTTTAATAATATTTTGAATTTAGTTGTCAAGCATGCTTGAAAAATACTGCATTTTGCTGACGACTTTTCCTAGTATTTTTTCTGCTTTATGATATCCAGCTATTGGACTTCTTCCTTTACTCAAAGTTCTTATTGCACTCTAAAAATAAGCATAAGCAGAAGACTGGCTATAGATCAGCTTTCATCAGTCTGCAACCTCAACAGTGAGAGGAGAGGATGGACTTTGCAGCTTGGAAGATTTCTTCTAGTAATGGACTCATAGTAGAGGTCCATTTGCATGTTATACCAACTTCTATGCCATGGCTGTTAGCATTTGAAAGTGTGTCTTCATTAAATATTAGTTTGTAGTACTCCTGTGCACGCAGTCAGGATCCAGTCTCAGCTAAGACGTGAGTACTCCTCCACTGATTTTGTCTGGTGACAGTAAGATTAGTCTGCAATTTAAATTAATATCAGATTTTGCACTGAAATTATCTAAAGCACTCAAGTGGTGCAGCAATGCTTAACAACATACCACCACCCTGAACAAAATGGACTCAGATCTACCCCTAAACAAAAATCATAGAATAGAACCCTAGAATCGTAAAATGGTTTGGGTTGGCAGGAATCTTTAAAGGTCATCTAGTCCAACCCCTCTGCAGTGAGCAGGGACATCTTTCACCAGATTAGGTTGCTCAGAGCCCCATCAAGCCTGACCTCGAATGTCTCCAGGGATGGAGCCTCCACCACCTCTCTGGGCAACCTGTGCCAGTGTCTCACCGCCCTCATTGTCAAGAAGTTTTTTCTAACATCTGATATAAATGTACCCTGCTCTAGTTTAAACCATTGCCTCTCATCCTGTTGCTACACACCCTTGTGAACAGTCCCTCCCCAGCTTTCCTGTAGCCCCCCTCAGGTACTGGAAGGCTGCTAGAAGGTCTTCCTGGAGCCTTCTCTTCTCCAGGCTGAACAATCCCAACCCTCTCAGTCTGCCTTCATGGGTGGGTGCTCCAGCCCTTTTGATCATTTTTGATGCCCTCCTGGACAAAAAAATACCCACAAAACCCAAAGGAAATCTCACAAATCTTAGCTGAGACACTATGATGAAACATTTTTTTTGTTCCCAGATTTTCAGACTCACTTCCCTGGCCTGTTTCTTTGTCTGTGGTGTGACTGGGGGATGAACAGATGAATTGCCACTTGGCAAGCCGGGTATGGAAATGAGTAACAAGTGCTGGGCTTCTGCTTCCCAGTCCCCTCCTGCTGTCTCCTGCCAAAGGAATGACAATCTCTTAATTTTGGTCAGTTACATTCAGGTCCCAGTTAGTCTGGGGTTGCATTGCTGTGGACGTGAACATTTGCAAACTAGCGCTAGCAGAGGATTTTGCGGCCTATTTAACGCCTTCCTAGTGTGCAGCTCAGCTAAACTGCTGCTGTGGGATGAACACTGTTTTTTAATAAGCTTTCAGGCAGACAAACTTTAATACAGTTGGAATGTAGCTTCCTGGGACCTGGACTCTTCCCAAGGATACCTGCTGCCAGGTTTGGGATTAGCGGGAACATTAAAGCTGCTCTTTAAACAATAAATGAGGAAAAGCTACTGCCAGGGTGAGGTTTTTTGTAGACAACATCTTAGTCACTTTCTGGGCTCTGACTGTGAATCACTTAAGTATACGGTTTAAGCTGTCAATTTACCATTTTCCACATTAGAGTTCTTGAATCCCTTGTCAATATTCAAGGTTTATTTCAGAAATACAAGGCTT